GCCGCGCCGGGGGTGGTGGTGGGGGGTCCGCGGCGGCGGGGGGGGTCATGTCGGCGCTGCTGGGACCCTTCCCGTCGTGGCCCGAGCGGCTGGAGGGCGCGGGCGAGGCGCTGCCGCCGCCGGCGCGCGCCGACAAGGGCGCCGAGAGCCGCATCCGACGGCCCATGAACGCCTTCATGGTGTGGGCCAAGGACGAGAGGAAGCGGCTGGCCGTGCAGAACCCCGACCTGCACAACGCGGAGCTCAGCAAGATGCTCGGTGAGGAGCGGCGGCGGTGGGGGGGACGTGGGGGGAGCCCCGCGCGGGGCGCAGAATGTGCCCCCGGGCCAGACCCGGGCACCCAGCGGGGTGCAAAAGCTGCCCGGCGCCTGCAGCCACCCTGCCACCCCAATGGGTGCAACCCGTGTGCAGGTCTCGTACCCCGTGCGTGGGCAGCCGTGCACCCCCCTGGCCACCCTTTGCGGTGCAGACCGTGCACCCCGCCACCCTCCAGGGTGCAGATCCTGCCTGGCTCCAATGCACCCACACGGTCGCCCCTGTCCTGGTCTGGCGCTCCAGGGATAGGTGCTCCAGGGGGCAAAGGTTGCCCAAGTCTGATACTTGTGTGTGCAGGTCCCCGTGCACCCACCCTGCTGYCCCATGGGCTGCAAACCCCAACGGGTGCAAATCCTGGGGGAAGGGGTGCCCCCCGCCAGCACCCTGCAGGCACCGAGCACCCACCAGGCCTCTTCTGGGAGGCAGCACAAGGAGAGACTCCCAAATTTTCTTTGCCTCTCCTTGAAGACTCGCTTGTCCCCAACCACTCGACCCACCCCAGTGCTTCTGGGCCAGGCAGAAGCGGGTCCTGCTGTTTCYTTTTGGGAGTCACCACCCGCTTTTAGTATAGACTCATTCCCAACCTCTCATCCATCCACTCCTCCTTACTTTTCCCYCTTCCCATTTTCTTTTACAAAACTGAGAGGGAAGAAGGAAAAAAAAAGAAAGAGAAAACCAGCCCAAACAGTCCRAGAAAAATCTTCTGTATTGCAACACAGCCTCGCCATCCGTTCTTGCCCCAAGCTGGTGTTTCTCCGGACAATTTTGTGGTGTTTTTTTCTGGATAGTGTTTGCAGTGCTTTTTTTCCAGACTTTTTTTGTTTTGGTTTGGTTTTGATTTGGGTTTTCTTGGGGAGGTGGTTTGAGGTTTTCCAGGCAGCGTCTCCGCTTGCTGCTGTAATTTTTGCAGCCCCTTTATCATCGATCCCATTGTCCCGTGCCCGGGGACCTGACAAAGTCCTTGGCGCCACTTGGGACGTTTGTCTCGGGTACATTTGGGTGTCACGGAGCCCCGGCCTGGAGCTCCATCCCTTTGCACACTCCGGAGCGGCGCTGAGGGCAATTTCCCTTCTCCCTTGCAGGCAAGTCGTGGAAGGCGCTGAGCCTGGCGCAGAAGCGGCCCTACGTGGAGGAGGCCGAGCGGCTGCGGGTGAAGCACATGCAAGACTACCCCAACTACAAGTACCGCCCGCGGCGCAAGAAGCAGGTCAAGCGCATCTGCAAGCGCGTGGACCCGGCCTTCCTGCTGGGCGGCCTCGCGCGGGACCAGAACGCCGTGCCGGACAAGCGGACGGGCACCCGGGTCCCCGGCGACAAGGAGGCGCCCGGTGAGTTCCTGCCGCCYGCGCGGGGGTACCGGGACGCCCCGTCCGGCAACGGCACCACCAACGTGGACACCTACCCCTACGGGCTGCCCACGCCACCGGAGATGTCCCCGCTGGACGCCCTCGACGCCGAGCAGAGCTTCTTCTCGTCGCCGTGCGCCGAGGAGCACCACCGGTCCCACCTGGCCGGAGCGCCCTTCTCGCCCGAGTACGCGGCGCCCTCRCTGCCCTGCAGCCCCCACGCGCTCGGCGCCTGCATGATGCCCCCAGCCGCCGCCTGCCCGGCCCTTCCTCCTCCTCCCGGCTACTACGCGCCCGCTTTCCACCCCGTCCAGCACCCCCAGAACCTCCCCGGCCACCTGGGCCAGCTCTCGCCGCCCCCCGAGCATCACCCAAGCTTCGACAGCCTGGACCAGCTGAGCCAAGCGGAGCTGCTGGGGGACATGGACCGCGACGAGTTCGACCAGTATCTGAACAGCCCCGGGCACGGCGAGCACGGCGGGCACGGGGCAGCGGCGCCGGCGGCCGGCGCCTCCGAGAACAGCCTCATCTCCGTCCTGGCGGACGCCACGGCCACCTACTACAACCACTACAGCGTCTCCTAGGCCGCCGGGAGCCCCCCCGGCTGGATGAGGAGGGACGTGGCCGGGAGCCGGAGCTGCCGCCGGGATGTCGGTGGGCGTCGAGCGTCGGGTTGCGCTGCGGCCGCTTCCCTTTTCCCAGYGCCAGGAGGGCGGCAGCATCCCTGAAATCCCAAGGCGGGGAGCRGAGGAGCGATGGATTTGGGGGGGGTTGGAGAAAAAGCCAAGGTTTGGTTGTGCYGGGGAGCTGCGGCCACAGGGAGGGAGTGGAGCCACAAGGAGGGATCCGGCGGCATTCCCGGTGTCAGGAAGCGCTCGTTCCCAGCGCCCTCAAAACCGGCACCGCCACCGGCCGGGATCCACGTCCCGGCCGCCATCCTGGGCTGGGAACGTTTTTTGGGATGAGCACTTTGGAAGAGAGGCGATGAAGCAGTGGAGATGGTTCTTCTGTGTTTGGAGATGCGGGGCCCGACGCCGCCCCGAGCTGGGCTGTGTTATTGCCTGTAATAAAACCTGTACCTTGATTTATACGGCCCATTATTTTATTTTTTCCCCCTTCCCTCGGATTTTTGTATTGCTAAGAGTTCTCCTTCTTTTGGTAAAGATGAAGCTTTATTTTAAATCACTTATATGATATGATTAATCTTAGTGTTTACTATATGGCACTTGGTAATGATTAGTTAGTAGCACGGCTATGATTTTTTATTTTTTTATTTTTTTTATTATTTTTTTTCTGGTTTCAGTCCTGAACATGTATTAATAATAATTGCAAATAATACTAAAAAAAACCCCRCAATTTCACAGGTTTTAAGCTAATACATTCCATCTTTTGTGTGTGTGTGTGTGGCTCTCTGCATTTTGAATGAGTGTGGATACGAGTTTGCATAAAATATTTAATTTAAATAGATGTGTTTTTATACACTGATTGTTTCACGATTTAAATAATCGCTGTAGCTATTGACAGAGTTTTCAAAGGAGAAATGTTTCTTGTGAGAGTGCTTTTTTTTTTGGTATTTTCAGTCAAACTTTTCTACTCCCTTTTTTTTTTTTAATAAAATAAAAAGAAAGATCTGTGGCTATCTTCACAAGTTGTAGTCTGCTTTCTAGCGAGCAGCAGGAGCTGAATATGCCTTTCCTTTTCGTACTGCATCTGATGGGTAGAAAATCACTTTAATGGGCCAGATCCTGCTCTTACCATGGGGCCCCTTAATGCCGAGGGCTGCCTCGATGCGGGTCAGGAGGTTAATGTGAACTTTGCCATGGACACAAATGATGTTGCTGGTTTTGGGGTGAGCGTGTGTCTCCAGAGTGTGATTTTTTTGACTCTAGTTAGGGCTGTTTTCTCCAGTACATGTTAGGACCCCGTTGAAGGGTCCTTGCTGACCAAATGCGGGTCGAGACTTGAGACAGATGGAATTTGGTGACCTGAGATGCTGGTGGCCAGGCAGTGCCTTCAGGCTTGGCTAGCAGAGAGGTGCGCAGACCTTGCAGGCCTCCTCCAGACCTGGCCTGAAGCTTCTTGTGGACCAGCTTCATAGCCTGATGTTGGGTGCTAGGTCAAGCTTTGACCATGAGCCATTGACCCAGATGCAACTGGTACAGATTCCCTGAGCCAACCTGCTCAGTCCAGAAAAAGCCAAGGAGCGAGTTTCCTAAGCACCGTGTGGTGAGTGCCCATGCATGCTGGCCAACTCTAGAGGTTGGCCAACCCAAAAGTACCCTACCACCCAACCAAAAGTCTGGGTTACCTCCACTTATTTCTGTCTCTGGGAGCCCAAGGTCACCGAAAGTGTGAGTCTTGATGATTGTTTGGGGATGCATGAGTGTAAGCACTGATCCTGTATGTGGGACTGGAGCAGTCACACTGCTCCATCCATGAGCCCTGGTGGTGTTCCAGGGCCAAGGGATGCTCCCAGCACCTGAGTGTGTCTCCAGAGCTATTGCTTTAGGTCTGGACACCAGCAGCTATCCCTTCCTGGCCAGAYTCCAACCATAATGTTTGCACGTGGTGGGATCCCAGCCCTGGCTGCAAATGCTCGGTCTGTGGATTGCAACATCCCAAAGTCCACAGGTGACCGGCACCCACTAGACATGCCTTGCATGCAGGGAACACTCTCAAGTCCGTTTTCCGGGGGAAAAGGGTCTATTTGTGCATCCCTTTGGTGTCAGAAAGCCACGGAGCCGCGTTGCGCTCCAGGCGACACCTCAACCCCAGGTGACTCCTGCGAGTGGGACCTGTCGCTGCTTGTCGGTCCCAGAGCCKCACGAGGTGAGGTGGATCTGTGTCACCCCGTGCTGAGCGCCACAGCCAGCACTGCAGGTCCCAATCAGGAGCTGGGATTGGGAGACAAAGCCAAGCGAGGGGCGGCTCCCTGGGAGCCGGGGCTCCGCAGATGGATCCGGCATCACACCCAGCGCCGTGGGGAGCGGCTGGGACACCAGGAGCCCAGACGGGATGTGGCAGCAGGGCTGGGCACAGTGGCAAATGCCATGACGTGGATTGCTCCCAGCTTCACCCAAGTCAAAACACATTTATATAAATATAAATATAAATATAAATATAAATATAAATATAAATATGTATAAAAATATATATTTTTTTTAATTTAGTGCTTTAGAAGAGCAAACTTAGGGTCATTCCAAATTTCTCTCCTCACAGAGAAGGAGCCTTTTATAAATCAGTTTTGGTACCCATCACATCCCCACTCTGCGGGAAGTCCTGTGGTTTGTGGGCTGTGCTCTCTGGCATGGGCTGGGAAATCACAGCAGCCCAAACCAGGGCCGCAATGACCTCAAGCCATGGCCTGGTTTGGACATGGACAAGACCTTCCTGGCCCGAGAGGTGGCCGGGGCACGAGCCCTTGGTCCTCCTGTGTCCATCCCCGTGCAGAGCCCAGGTGGCGGCACGGGCCATGGGGAGCCGGGATGAGGTCACCTTCCTGGATAGCCCTGCGCTCAGGGCCAGTCGTGCGTTGTCTTGCTTTGGCCATTTCCTTCAAATACAAGGAGCAGGTGGTGCTTCTTCTCCCAGAACGATGAAGCCCAAATTTTGTTCCAGCTCCTGGTGGGGGYAGCTTGTCTGTGAGGACCTCATCATCTGGCCCCATATCACCCAATAGCGAGATGGCAAGAGAGGGGCAAGAAATTCCTGGAAGGGGGTGGTTTGACCTGGGATTTTCCTGTTGCAAAAGAGCATTATTGGGTGTAGCAAGAGCAAGAACCATGCACTGGGGCAGTGCTTGGTGCTGATGATAGCTTGCGCACCTCCACAGACAGGTTCTCCAGAGGTGGGAGCTGTTGGAGTGGTGGGAAAGGGGACAGCATCTCATTGGGACAGAGGGATGGGGAAGCCTTGGAGGAGACCACAGGCTGGGAGGTGAAATGGGAGGTGAAACATCCACCTGGTGTCTAAGCAGGCACTGTGGCTTTTCATCCCATGGGAGAGGTTGCCACTTTACCCAAAGGATGCAAATACCCAGGGAGGGAAATGGAAGCAGAGAGAGGGGTAAGGAGACCACAGTCACCCAGCAAATAGATGATAAAGGAGCCCAAAACTCCCCCCAAACCCTTTTTTTATGCCCCCAACAACACCATCCTGCTCATGCATGTGCACCCTCTCCCTGGGTCTCTCCTTGCTCCCACTYCCCTATCCCATGGCATCGTAAGCGGAGCCACCTCCGCTCCAGCATGCCGGGCAGGATCCGGCCCTCCCTGCCTTCCCTGCAGAGGAGGGAATGGGACAAGCTGCTGAGTGGTTTCCTGCACCGCGCTGCCAATGGGAGCCGCTTCTGGTGTGGGGAGCAGGGGAGGATGTATCTGGAGCTGAGTGTTTCCTGGCTGATAAGGACAGCCCCTCCTGCCGGATGTTATGAGTCCAGGTCCTACCTCCAGGTTTCAAGCAAAGGGGCCGAGGAAAAGCCTGGCTGTTTATGTCAAGGAAAAATAACTTCTCCCTCTGGGCAATCTGACGGCTCCTCCAGTGCTACGTGCAGGAGAATAAACAGGGGGAAGGGGAAAACAGGCAAGGGTGCCGGTGCTGAATGCACCTGCAGGGTGCTGCAAGTGATGCAGGGCGATGCAAGAGAAGGTGCAGGCAGGAGGGCTGTGGACACTGGGGTGCATGTCCCTCCCCTCAGGGCTGGGGTAGAAAGGTGCCGGGATGAAGGCAGGGGGAGCTGGAGTCAATACGGAGTTGCTCCATTGTCATTCCACTTGGCCAAACAGAATCCCAGAATCTTCAAGGTTGGAAGGGACCTCTAGAGATCATCTAGTCCAACCTTCCTGCTCAAGCAGGCACACCCAGAGCAYGGGGCACAGGGTGGCATCCAGGCGGGTTTTGAAGACCTCCAGAGAAGAAGACTCCACAACCTTCCTGGGCAGCCTGTTCCACTGATCTGTCACTCTCACAGTAAAGAAGTTCCTCCTCACCTGGAGACGGAACTTCCAAACCTAGAGGGTCGCTTCTCTCTGCCCCATAGGCATCACCTGAATGAAAACCAGCCTTCAATAAATCATTGCTCAGTTCTCCCAGCATGTAGGTTTGGGACAGAGAGTCCCTTTGAGGTAGGAGCTGAGGACACCAGCTCCAACTGCTCTGTCTCCAGGTCTGGGCTCAGCTTCGTGCCCATCTCTGCTCCCCAGGGAGGCTTTGAAAGAAGGTTGCAGGTAGAAAAGCTGTGTCTGGACTGACAGCCCAGCCAATTAAGGAGGATGGAGAAGTTGCACAGCRGGTTTGGAGCGAATAGGACAAATGGGGAATCTTCTCACATGGACAAATTTCCATCCTTCTGCAAGGCGTCAGTAAAATCCAATGCTAGCTGGAGTCATTTTTCTTTTGGAGCACCTGCAGTAGTCTTGGGCTCCACAGAACCCAAGCCAAAATCCTCCTGATGCCTGGAAGCTGGCACATGTTCAGAGATATCTCTGGAGAAGGATAATCCCAAAGACTTATGAGGTCTCCACACTCCCCTTCATGTGCTCATCATGGAGCACAGGTCCTGGAGGACTCATCACCCTCAGCTTGTGCCCTATGAGTGGAGCTCATGGGCATAAGTTAGCACTTTGTAGCACAGGTATGCATTATGTTTTTAGGAGCATACTTGGGACCATGCTTCTCCTCAAGGGACTGAAACTAGTCTTGGTTAGTGGCAGGAAAAGCAGTTGCTGGGAAAAA